ATAGAAGTTTTGTACGCTAGTAGATTTTACATGCATTGTGGTTATTCCATACCATCAAGTAGAAACTGGCTCATAGCTGACAGAGGCAGTAAACCACCGGGGAGGAGATTGCCCATCTTTCTCTCAGGAAGCAGCAGGTGAGTTCAAACCGCATGTTTTGGGGTTGGGAGCAAAATTCCTTACTACTAAGCCATTAGTAGAGGGGGGAAAGGGCTGTGATTGTCAAATGCATAAGGAGTTGCCCTACCAAGACAGAGGCATGTGGTTTGAATTCATCAGTCACTCCAGTGTAGAAAGATGGGACACCTCGTCCTGACAGATTCAACTGACAGATTCTAAAAACCCAGTGAAGGGTCAGCTACACAGTGGTTCCAACTCAAGGGCCCATAACAACAACAACAGGGAAAAATAAAGGATTTGTTTTTCACTGTGGGAAAAGATGATGGAAACATTTAAAAAGAAATGAACTCAGTATCCTCTACATTCCATTTTCGATGATCATTTTTAAATCTCACTTTTTTGTGTGAATCTTTCTTAGGGACTGAAGTCTTTAGCTTGTTTTGCAGTTGTGTATATACTTTGTTCCTAAACAAATCACTAGTCTGAGTTCTGATTCAAGTTTATATCCCAACAGTGTCTTGTAGCACATTTTTTACATGATGGAAACAAGTTTTATATTCAGTGAATGAATAGAGAAATGCATAAAGCTTCAAAATTTACAAGATGAGGAAGCATCAGATAGATGAGTACAGACAGAAATTTTCAAGTATCATGTTCTAAAATGTTCTTAACAGCTTAGTAAAGCTGTTGTTTTGAAGAAAACTTATGCTAGTGGAATAATGGTTTAAAATGACATTCCATTTGAAATCTCCATTTCTAAAGGTAAACTTTGAGAGGAACTTCAGCACACTTGGTGGCACTCAACCCGGTGGTAGTACACCCAGAACAAGAATGTAGCAAACTGCATCAAAGGAGAAACAAATGGAAGATCTCTTCCAGCAACAAGGCAATCTTTGAATAGGGAAGAGGGAATTAAAGGTTCAGTGTTTTAAAAGCAAATGCATATGTGCATCATGGAGAGGGAAAGCAAATGAAGAGGTTTGTGTACTTACATCATGGAGTGGGTAAGCAGATGAATACGTGTTAGAACTCAGTAGTCTTTCAATCCCAAATCTTTTCTTTCCCTCTTCTGTGCCAAAAGGACATCGTGAAAGAATATAATAAACCTGTAAGACAAGGATAGAAACCCAATCACGTTTCACAACTTGAAACTTCTCACACTGACATTCATTTTTCCTCTCAATTGTTAAAAACACTGACTGGTGATAATACAGGTTATGGTTAGAGAAGGAAACAACTTCTCATCAGTGTCTGGAGAAAATGCAGAATGATGTTGTATGGAGTTTATTTATTGTAGGCATTTTAGCTCCTGGGTTGAGAGATTCCCAGTATCTAGAGAAGTGGGTAGGAAGTGGCCTATGAAGTCTGAATCTCTAGTCTCAAATTCCTCCAGGAGTTCATATGGAAGAATCCCTATTATAATCAACACTTCAAGTTGGAATCTACCATTACTACTACTATGGTCTTTTCATTTGCTTGCTATGCATCCACGAGTTAGACTATGAATAAAGACGACAGAAGAATTGATGTCTTTGAGTTGTGGTGCTGGAGAAGTGTACGGAATATGCTGTGAAATGTCAAAAGAATGAACAGATTCATCTTGGAAAAGGCGCAGCCAGAGTGCTCCTGCGAGGAAAGGGTGGCAAATCTTCATCTCTCATAGTTTGAACATGTTGTGAAGACAGGTTTTTTTCTTGGAAGAAGATAAGCTTGGAAGGTAGAAGGTCAGTGAAAGAGAGGAAAATCCCATAACGATGGACTGGTATGACACTGGCAGCAATGGCTCAAGTGTATCAGAGATGTGAAGACAGTTGAGGACGGTACAGGGTAGGACAGGATTCAGAACTGTTGTCCATAGGAGGTTATGAGTTGTACTTGACAGCACCTAACACTAATATGACTGAGCAATAACACAAGTATGAACTCTTGTACATGTCTTGAATTACTTTCTTAAAAAAGATTTACCAAAATAAGAACTTTGTGTTAGGGGGTCACAAAAAATTAGTACATTGTACCATGTCATCTATTAAGACATCTTATAAAGCCATGGAACTGTTAAAAGAAAACAAATTTTTATTTAGTTAAGGACAAATTTTATTAAAAAAGATCAGGGAGAAGGGGAAAGTTACTATGGAGAGAAGAAGAGGGCATAAGTATCTATCTGACACTTGCATTGGAATGTATTATAGATCAAAGGCTAGTTCTAGAGTTTTCAAGCACATGGCTGCTAAGCACAAGGTTGGTGGTTCCTATCACTTATTGTCCCAAGGAGAACCATAATGCAACTGTTTCTACAGCCTTTGAAATCTTATGGTCCTGTCCAGCTCCAATGAGTTAGAATCGACTCAATGGCCACAGGTTTGTAAGAGTACACGTAGGTACATATACGTATTTAAGTTTGGATAATATGACAGCAAAATCCTCCTGTGCGATTTACTGCCACTGAAGATCAGCTGGAGGGTTAGTAATGAGCTGATTCTGACTCGATGATAATCAACAACTAATGTATACGCTGAATCAGAAACAAAGATTACACACAAGAACTTTTATTCCTCTGATTTACTGTTCTGTGAAATGGTTGATACACATTCTATTTATTTATATACTAAATATTAATATTTAAATTAAATATAATATATAATATTATACATTATAATAATTAAAATAAATTGGACAAGGTACAGCATTTATCAAGACAGACTATTAAACTCTCTTTGAAAAATTCATATATATGTATGTTGCTGTTATCATTGAGACAGAAACAACCCAGAGGTAACCTGCCAGTTTCAGAAGTAGTAAATTGTATGGAGGAGATTACCCATCCTTCTCCCTTGGAGCAGCTTGTAGATTTGAACCACATGCCTTTGGAATTACAGTTCAGCTTCTTACCCACTAGGCCACGAAAGCTCCCTATATTTATATATATATGTATATACAATCTTTCAGATTTTATCCAATTGAGGAACAACTGATTACCAAGATTTTAATTAATATCTTTGTAATGAATGATTTAGGAATGATGTCAGTTATGCAGACAAACTGCTTAGGAAAAGTAGAATAGTGAACTTGCTAATAAGCAGATAATAACCAAACATGGCAACCAAAGGAAGCCTACTATGTGTGTGATTCAGTTCTTGCCTCCATTTCTTCTCTTAGAACTGAGTAAAATACACTGTATGAAGTATCTATCGAAATAATGCAAAAATTGAGCTCTGCCAATAATTACAATTGCAGCCACAGTGCTCCTTGGAAGCAAAGATGATCCATGGAGAGGAAATTCATGCTTGGGAAGGTGGAGGGATAGTGAAGGAGAGGAAGACCCTGAGTCGGATCATCGCAGTGACTGCAGCAACGGACTAGAGTGTGATTGCGAGGATGGCACAGGACAGGACAGGGTTCAGATCTGTTGTTCATGTGGTTGCTATGAGCCGTACTTGATTGAGATCACCTAATAATACTAGCTATTCAACATAGTTATAAACTAGTTACCTCCCAGGCACTGTTAAAAAGCTTTTCATGTCAACTTATTTACTTTTTTTCGTAGTCTGTTAAGTGGATAGGTTGATACAAAGCCCTAGGTTGATACAAAGAAATAGTGGACAGGAACTATGATGTTTTGTGAGGCAGGTTTTAAAGAAGAAATTTAATCACACAGAGATTAGAAATGGAAAACGTATGTTATTAATCAAAATGCTGAAAGAATCGGTTTGAAATAAAGAGAAAATCCTTCAGAGAGTTCTCAAGTGTTATCCAGATATTAGAAAAATTAAAACATTTCAATTTCAAATTCCTTTTCCTCTGCACTGAGTTTGGGAGCTCTGACAGCCCAAGGGGCAAGAAGCTGCACTGTCAATCCAAAGACAGGTCTAATCTACCCGCAGCTCCTTATAAGAAAGATGGGAAATCATTTCCCATGTGATGTACAGCCTCTGAAATCCCAACTGGATTGGCAGCTATAGTGATTCTGACTCGGTGACAATGGCTGAGTGAGGGATGAACTGAGTTTATAAAATGAAATTCTGCATAGTATCTAAAGCCATTTTACCACCAGTTCTTCTGACTCCCAATAAAGTGGTGTATGTAATGTTGCTTCATGCCTTTCATTATTGCATCTACTGTATGGAGGTGGGTCACATGTTATCTGAGGTAAAACTTCACCACCCTTGCTTTTCTGACTGTGTTTTTTCCAGGACAGATCTGTTCATTCTGTTGGCATTCCGTTGTATATTTGCTATCCTTTGCCAATAGCACATTTGAGAGGCATCAATTCTTCCTCTGATTTCCTTATTCACTGCCCAACTCCCACATGGCACATGAAGCAAATTAAGATATACTTGCTTAGATCAGGAACATTTTAGTTTTAAAGAGGTCCTTGGTACCGATTTGCCCAAGTAGTACTTGGGTTTAATTTCTTGACGGGATGTTGATTATGGAAAATTAAATAAATGACCGCCACAATATTTTCTCCACTTATCATAATATTTTTATTGATCCAGTAATGAGTATATTTTCTTTATTTACATGTAGTTCATACTGAAGATTATAGGCTTTGTCCTTCTTCAGTCAGTGCTTCACGTCTTCTTCGGTATTAGCAAATCAAGGGTGTGTCACCTGCATTTTGCAGTTTATTAATGTCCCTTTCTACAGTCAAGATGCCACGTGCTTCTTCATAGAATGCACTTTATTAGAATATAAGTTATTCTTAAAATAGTTCAGCATACAGACTATGCTATATAACTATTGTTGTTGTTGCTGTTATGTGCCATCGAGTCACTTGCAACTCATAGCGACCCTATGTACAAGAGGCCTAAACGCCGCTCTATCCTGTGCCAACCTCACCAACTCAGACACACTCATTCCCACCACTATACCAGATACCAGCATAATAACTACGGTGAAAGGATACAATCCTGACAGACTTTTTAAATTTCTTTTAAATCCTGAAATGTTCCCTTATTCAGTGTGAATACTGCTTCATGGTCTACGCACAGCTTGGCCTAAGCACAGTGTAGTGCTCTGAAATTGCCATTCTTTTCAACAGTATCCCTGGATTATTAAGATACACATGGTCAAATAATTTTGCATAGTAAGTACAAGGAACATCTTTCTTCTATTGTCTACTTTCAGTCAAGCTCCACCTGACATCAGCAATGATATCCCTTGTTCCACTGTCTCTTCTGAATCTGGCTCGAATCCTAGCAGCTACTGATATACTTCTCTGGTTGTTTTGGAATGATTTTCATCAAGATTTTACTTGTATGTGGTATTAATGATATTGTTTAATAATTTCCATACTGCTATGTTACCTCTTTTTTAGAATGGCACATCTGGAAAAAAATGCATGGGTTAGTAAGCAGTTGTTTTACAAACTTGTTAACACAGATGAGTGTGTCTAAGCATGTGCATCTGTTTATTGAAACACCTACCTTCGTTGGTACTCTAGCAATTCCTGCAGTCTCTCTCTCTCTTTTTTAAAATAATGTTATATGGATTCTGGCTGAAAGTAGAGAGCACCAGAGAAACGTCTGTCTGTGCTTCATTGACTATGCAAAGGCTTTTGACTCTGTGGATCACGACAAACTGTGGCTGACTCTGAGAAGAATGGGAATCCCAGAACATTTGATTGTGCTAATGCGAAACCTATACTTGGACCAAGATGCAGTCGTCAGAACAGAGCAAGGAGACACTGCATGGCTCAAAATCAGGAAGGGTGTCTGCCGGGGATGTATTCTGTCTCTATACCTTTTCAAACTGTATGTAGAACAGATCATGCAGAACACTGGGCTGTATGAGGAGGAATGTGGCATCAGGATTGGTGGAAGAAGCAACAACCTGTGTTATGCAGATGACACAACCCTGCTTGCTGAAACTGAGGAGGACCTGAAGCACTTGCTGCAGTAGGTCAAGGACTCCAGCTT